TATAAAAAAAAAAAAAATAAATAAAAATAAAATAAAATAAAAATAAAAATACTAACAATGTTTTTATATATATGTGGTCTTGAAAAATAATTTTTTATTAAGATACTTGAAAATTATTCAAAACAAAAAGTTAGCATGTTCTTTTTAAAACTTTTAATTTAAATTTCTAAGTTTGACTTGGTTTTGTATTGTTATAATAAAAATATTTTCTAGGAGATTTACCTTAGAGTTATATATAAAAATATTTTCTTAAGTACTAACTAGCTTCGATTAGACTTTTTAAATTTATCAAGTAAAATCAGTTATTTACTGACTTCCTTAATTGGCAAGTTGACCAAATTTTGTGGGTATATTCACTGCAAACCCTCACGAGACTACAACTCGTCCTATAGGGTAACCTAGGGGTTTTAAGGCTTATTGAATGCGCTAAATATAACCGCGATTCCTGCGAAAGTGAGTTAGGATTTTTAATTTCTTTCTTTGCTAGAGTACTAGCAAAAGTTTAAGTGTAGGGGTATTTGATTAACATATTTTATTATATTTTACACCCTCATTATATAATTATTTCAAGAAATAAATCTGCTAATATCTCATTTTAGCTTAGTTTGCACAAAAACATAAATAAGTATTATTCAATATAAAAACCCTCAAATTCTCTCTTCTCTATTTATTATTTCAGAATTATCAAAGCCCATGAAGCCAAGAAACCCAAGAAGAAAAGCCCACGAAGCAAAGATCAAGAGAAAATCAAGCCAAATGCAATATAATTTTGAAAAGCCTATGAAGCTAAAGAGCATGAAGCCCATGAAGCCAAAGAGAAAAAAATCAAATATTTCTTCCCTATTTTTGAGAAGCCCATAAACAAGAAGCCCAAAGGAAAAACAAAAGCCGAAAAAAATAAAAAGCCCAAAAATCACTTTGAGCTCATGGTTGCAATCCGTGGGTTTTTGATTTGTTTTTAAAAAAAATTAGGTATGGGTCTTTGGATTGTGGATAGGCATGAGTATGAGTTTTTGGATTGTGGATAGGATATAATATGAGTTTTGGATTATGGTATGGGTGTAGTATGTGTTGAAATATTATATTTTAATTACGAGGATTGGATATTTTGGTGTATAAATAGAGGAGAGTATGTGAGTTTGAGGGGGTGAAAGTTTTGTATAAGGAGTTTACTCTTGATTGAGGAACCCTCAAACTTGTAATTTGTTTTACATTTAACACAATCTTTGTTCACCGGAATTTAAGTTCAAGGAGAGGAAAATCCCCATGAAGTTAAGTTTCTATTTTTTTTCTTTATTTTTCACTTTCTTTTGTATTTCCTTTCGTAGCTTACCCCATGAAGTTAAGTTTCTATTTTTTTTCTTTATTTTTCACTTTCTTTTGTATTTCCTTTCGTAGCTTAGATTTATTTCTTGCTTTTAATTCTTTCTTTTGTATTTCCTTTCGTAGCTTAGATTTATTTCTTGCTTTTAATTCATGTCTTGTAATTTTATTTATAGATTAGATTTTTCCTCTCTTGCACTATTCACCTTGAGGCTAGAACCCTCTTGGGTTTAGTTTTTATTTTTGTTTATTTTTCATTTTTTTAAAATCACCTTGAGGTTAGAACCCTTTAGGGAATTACATTTTCTTTTTATTTTCCTTTTTTCTTGTATGATTTTATTTATTTATTCTTCTCCCCTCTAAATCAAAGTTTTATTTTGGACATAATGCAACAAACAACATACCTCCAAAACAAACAAACGTCTCCTTTCATTTACTTGTTTCTAACCACTCCTAATTATCGCACACAACATAAGAACCGAATCTAATTATTTCCTACAAACACCTTCCTCGTGGGATCGATAACTTTTTATACTATAACTTGATTGGTTGTGCACTTGCAATATTTGGTACATGTTTTTGTTCCATCAAAAATGCAATCAATAAAGGTGTTGAAGGATACACAGTGCCGAGACTAAATATTTCAAATCATGATCCAATCCAAAAAATATTTATCCTCTCAAAAAATAATTAGTTCAACACAAGCCAAATACCACCAAGAGACGAGATTCTGTTCACGCATCTCACATAACTTTCTTTCTCAATGTAATCCTCAAAACACATGAATGCTCAGATTTTAAAGTATTACCTAACTTCAACAACTAAGATAGCTACGGAAAGTGTGAATATATTAAAAGAACAAGTCTTGGAGTGTAATACCTAAGTGCTCAGATTTTAAAAAAGAGCCTCTATAAGAATCCCTCATTCAAAAACACTATTTTCCAATTTGTCAAAATACCATGACAATGAAAATCATCATAGACATATGTAAGCTCAGAACCTAAAGATAATCATAAGTGGTAGCCATCCAATACATAAGTGCTCATGTAGTGCATGATGTGTAAGAGCTTTATTAATAACATTATTGATAGCCATGCCAATACTTGAGAGTTCATATAGGTTGCTAAATCATAAGTATCGATTAAAAGCACGATGCACCTCTACAACATACATGAGTCTCAATGCCGGTTGCATATCACAATAATCATTTTTATTATCACCATTGCTTAATATCTCAGATGGTATGAATGCATGAAAGCATCATGTTGTATAAGGAAAACAAGTATATAGGTAATTGTTGAAATTTTCAAAATCTAGCGAGTACTCAGAAAATGACCAACAATCTATAAAAATAGCCATACCATTACACCAGGTCTAAATGCATGTTGCTATCCTTTGAAATTGGCCAAACATCATAGCAACGACTCATGTCGATAGTTAAGAAATCAAATATGCAAGTTGCTTCCGTTGGAGGATCCTGCAACAACAAGCCAGGATTATTAGATAATATATTCAGATTTATAGCCCAATTTCCATACAAATGTTCACATATAACCCAAGCAGGTGAAGGTACAGTTAAGTGGTGCAACAACATTGATTAATATTAAAAATAAAATTAAAAAGATAAGTAATCATCGACATATATGCAACAAAGTCACATGTTAAGTTATCAAGTCATATATATATCATACACATAAGCGGCTAGAAATCTAAATTTATGAGCATCCATCACGCTCAAATACATCACACAAATTAGACATATTGTTTGTCTCAAAATTAGCTTAACTACAAAAATAAGTCAAAAGTATGGATGTAGATATCAGTTAGTACCCAAAAAATGCTACCAAAATAAAACTAGTGCCATGTTACTAGTTCTAGACTTGCTTCTCCATAAACTTGTCCAACAAATCCCTTTGTCCAAAGTCAGTCTTTCCAATAAATCGCCTCCTGTCGAGTTCACTTTCAACAAGTGTGTCATAAAACCTCTCAAGTATTTCAATAGGATAGCTTTCTTTGTGGGCAAAGATCGCTTCGGACAACTTTTCAGTCCAATGCATGTTAACATTCTTGATAGAGGATGCAATTTTTTTTACCTGATATATCATTTGTTGCATGAATTCATTATCAATATCAGACCTTCCATTACCATTTCCCTTACTAGTCCCTCCCTTTCCATTCTTTTCATTTTGCAAATTAGTTGTAGGTTTGGCTCCTTTGGGAATAGAGGTTTCCTTAGCTTGAGTTGGTGAATCATCTTCATCCACATTATGAATATGAGGTGAGTGTTAATTGGATAGAGGACTGGCACCATCATCTCCAATATTAATTAGAGCACTACCACCAAAATATGTGTTAAAATCCTTGTTGTAGTCTCCTTTAGCTTGATCGACACCGATAATAATTACAAGGTCCTCATAGTGAACTAGGGGCTTGTTGATGTATTTTTTAAGCTTGGAACTACTCAAATTTTTATCCTGCATAATACAACATGTATTAAACTCTATTTTAGCAAAATAACATTGTAAAAAATATGAAAGGAAGATAGGGTGTAAAGTTTAGAAATACCTCACTCCTATCAAAACAGTCTTTATCCATGATGATAGTACTTGTAGATTCATCCCATCCAGCCCCACTTAGATTGCGATAGAATTGCATATCATGGAATCTTGTTCGAAGACTTTTCATATGGTTGATAACATGCTCAATTGTAAAACCACCGTCAAAGTGTTCATTCATATGAACAACCGCCATATTGAAAGCGGTCCTCTTAAAATTTTTGTCAGCTTTCTGCCCAAACTTTACCATTTTTGTAAGAAATGGAATCAAAATATCATCATGTTTACTTTGCCAAAACTTGTGTGAGCCACTTTTACCTTTAACAATAGGCTCACTTCTTCCCTTTGAAGCATCATTCCTTTTTCTTCTTCTTCTTTTTAGAAGTGCCCATTCTCTTGCTACCCCTTTATTCTAAAATGGTTCCCCTTTCAGTGTGTGGATTGATATGAACCCCACTAGATAATGGAGTATGGCACTGTTGTTGCATGGAGGTGGGACCACTAAGTATGTGAGTAAATGAGATTGGTGGATGTGTCATATGAAAGTAACCACCATCATAATTGACCACATTATGAAATACATTTGAAGTATTACCAAATAGTGGTGATTTGTAGGGCATGAACCCCATATTGAAACCACTAGTGACTAGAATAGTCGGAGTTCTAGGTGGTGGGGATGGTGTGGCCGGATTGCTCTTGTCAATCCCTTCAAAACTAGTATTCTCAGCCACTCCTATAGAAAATTAGAGACAAATATAAAATTTAAAATATGGAAATGAAGCATGAGGATGAGAGAGACTAATAATAAGCAAGTCAAATAATAATAAAAACGCATTAATCAAACACATTCACCAACACTTGTAGCATTACATAAACTAATCGCGACACGAGAATATAAATAATTTTACAAGCATAAGTAACAAAATGTATTTACCGATAGAATTAAAAACAAAAAGAAGGTACTTGACCCAAAATATCACTAGAAAGTATTCCTAATTAAGTTCGCATGCCAATTTCAGTGATGTTCCCACGACGGTGGCGTTCACAATAATCAATCCACATCTTCCAAACTATTTGATCTCTACGATTCTTCCATTCGGTTCTTAATTCTACTTGCTCTCATTAGGTTTGAGTTTGAGAGAAGTCAAGAATATTGTCCTCTTCTTCATTTTCCATTTCACTAGCCTCCTCTTCAATTTGTGTAGGTTCATTGAGGATATCATCGTTTGGATCAACAGTAGCAATATAATTATGAAGAACTGTGCAAGTCAAGACAATATCAACCTGTGTCTCAAATGGGTAATTAGGTTTAGTGGCAAGAATCTTGAAACGATTTTTTAATATTCCAAAGGCAGATTCAATCTTAGATCTTAAAGACGAATGTCTAAGATTGAATAGCTCCCTTCTATTATTAGGCGTTTTCCCAATTTGTTCTTTCAAATGATATTGAACACCACGGTAAGGGAGATAAAACTGGCATGGTTGTGTAACCCGTATCACACAAGTAGTATTTACCTAAAATTATGATGATGAAAATATGTACATTAGGTCATGTTTATTTTGAAACTGTGTTCAAATATTCACACGTATTTCTATAAAGTTAAAAAGTGGATGAAGTTACCATCAAAGACTCTCAAACCATGAGGTTATGGTCTAGATAATGCATCTTGTAGGATCCTATAGTCATTTGCGGAGCCTTCCACCCTGCCAAAATATATGTGAATAATTTATTAGGGGTACAAGCTGTCAGAACATTTTGTGTGACTCCTTTACAACCACGAAAAAATACAACAAATCTAGCCGGAAGCAAAGCATCAATATGGGTCTCATTGATCATACCAATGCAATCTTAGAGAGTATATCGTCAAATAAATATGAAAGCATTTTAAATATAGAGTTAAATAAATATATACTTATTCATAAACTATAAATGATATACCTTAAAGTAAGGGTAGTATCTATGGTTGTTAAGGATCTCCTTCGGTACTTCATTTGGCGCTTGTCTCATATACCATCCACGTATGTGATAAATTGCTTCAAGCATTTTGTTAAAATATCTACTTACGATCTCTCCGGATCTAATAAAACATGACCTTATGATGCGATTTTTGGTTTTATGACCCAAAATATTCAACGTCGTGGCAAGTTGTTCCTCTACCGTAACATGCTGGGAATCTTTTAAAAGTTTATTTGACCTCATAATTCTTGCAAGATTGTGGAAAGTCCCACTCCGCATTCTGACATAGGTTTGATAACTATCTAAATATCCATGCTCTTTGTAGTGCATGTGGTCAAGCCTCCTTTTTTTAAATTAATTTTTCAATAGTTGGACTGCTACATATTCTTCTACGTCTAGCTTGCACCCTACGCATGAATGTAACTAAGATCAATATGATAGATAGTGTAGCCCCAGAGACAATGCTCACTATCATTTCTTCATCAACATATTCCCCATCCATCTACAATATCCATATTAAATCAATTATCAGTTTGAATGAAAAATAAAGTAGTACACATGTGACAAATATTTATAATGTACTATATGATCTGAAGATTAAACTGCAGTATTGAGAACCAAGTTTTTGCTATAAAATCAAAACAATTACTAAGTAATCTTATCTAAAAAGCTATCTTTATATTCATGACTTGAACCAATTTCATAGCTGGAACCAATAAGTAATGAGATCACAATAATCATTTTCTTCCTAAATAGAGGATTTAACATAAAGATTAGAGCACTAAAATCATAGTCAAAATAGAAGATTTGAAGCAGTATTATAAAATCAAGATTTTGAAGAGCATGAGGCACTATACGCAGTTGTTTTGAACATGTCTTTGTCGAAGATGAGATAGTGAGCCCATGGTCTGCACATACTTAGGATATAACAAATCTATTCTATATAACGAAAGAGGAGTACACGCGGAACTAGTATATATAATGCTTGGCATATATAGGAAAATTAATAAATTATATAATTTAAGAAGTGCTCAAAACTAATAAGTTACCACTAAACGGATAACACACCATTCTTCCATAGCCCATGCATTCTCGTAAGTTCTAACGACACAGACATTGGAGATCACACATCCTGTATCTATATTGAAATCCCTCATACTATTTGCATAACCCATGCATTATCACGGTCACAAGCTACCCCTATGTATAAATATGGTGTCATTTTCGGTGGTAACCTATGACATGATCGGATTCAACATGCTTTAAATGTTATTACAGATATGTAAATTCTTCCTCGTAGATAAAATCTTAATCATGAAAACAAATAAATAACTCGCTAGCTCACTAGAACCAATATTTCCCTAGAAATAGTTTCTTACCTGCATCTCATACATGTCAACAAACAAACAACCAATTTAAATTGAAAAACGACCAAAATCCTAAAATTAACAGGAATACATAACGAAAATCATTCTTAGAACCCCCAATTAGTTGTTGCCGATGAAATGTATAAATATGTACTCAAACAGCATCAGGAAAAGCTGCAGTTTTGGGTTGGAAGCAAATTATACTTGAGAAAGGAATATTGCTACATTCTAATACATTAAAAGCAATAATTTTTATATGAATTTCAGAATAATTAAAACTTATTAAACAGAATAATGCATGATCACTTGGTCCACTTTGGAATTTAAAACAGAAAAAGATTTTTAATACAAAAAACTATTGCGGTTATTAAAAAGAGGTATTTTTTGCATGTGAATGTAAAAACTTACTATGAAAAAAATAAAGATAATAATAAGAAAAAACTAAAATTGTTAAGAAAATTACCTTCAGAGATTTTTTAAAGTAGCTCGATTAGGTTTCCAGAAGGATTAGCCCCAAATCAGTTAGATCTTAGAGAGATTAAGCAATCAAGAAGGCAAAGCAATGAATCGACCTTTAAAATAACCCAAATAGAAGGCCGCCAAACTTATAACCCAGATTTGAAGATTCTTTACCAGTGAAATAGCCAATTATTTAGCCCAAACAAAGCTTGAGTTTCTATTGAAGTAGCAAGAGAAGATTGACAGTAGACGAGGGATCAATATCAGGTAGGATCAATGGAGGGATCAACTGACATATTTTCCCTCAGTTTTTTTGGCGGAGAGAGGCGGTGGAAGGCACGAGAGAGGGGGGAAAGAAAATGAAGAAGAAGAGGAAAGGAGAGAGAGATAAGGCGGTGATAATAACAATCACCTTTTGTTCCCATTGTTTTCCAGTCGTTCCCGCGGTTTTTAGCTGGCAAAAATATTATTAACATTGTCCTTCTCCATCCCATTTCTGAGCTTAAAAAACAAAAATGGGCTATTCCATTTTTTTGACGTGGCAGATGATTTCCAACAAATTTTTCCTTAAATATGAGGTTGAACCAAACTAGAGAATAGAAAAACTACATGGGTTTAGATTTCCTACTGTCACTTGGAAACCGATTTCAGCCTATTTTTTTGCCAACCGAACAACCCCTTATTCTCAACTGCGACCACTACTTTTTCATCACATGTTATACTGCACATAACGCATATGTTTAGAACATATAAGCCAAGGGTGCTCTTTAATAAAGCTAAGCATCATAGAAGACATTATGCATGACATTTTACTTTTTCCTTTTTTTTCTTTTTTACTTGTTTCATGATTTTGTTTTATAGCCATGTGCCAATTACATAGTTGCTGATTCAGATCAAGTAAAGTGAATTTTACGAAAGATTGAGAGATTGAACTTTACTCACAAATGGAAGGGAGATTGCTGGATATTCATGTCTGAATATAGTCTCACATCCGATAGGATAAGAAAGAGTGGTGAGTTTAAAATAAAAGTTGGGGTGAATACCTAGTAGCTATAGCTTTTAGATTAAAATTAATTCCTAGCATTTGTTTAAAACTTATTAAATCTAGGTTGAAGTTTAATGCGAAACTCTAGACATTTGGTCAATTTAACGGAAGCGATAAGGTCTAGTTAGCCGACGAGCGAAGCGGTGGAAGATCCTAACGGAAGCGATGGAAGATCAATAGAAGATATATCCATCAACTCTAAGTTGAAACCGATTACTCCCCAGCAATTTTGCCAATAGGTCTGAATGAAAAATGGTTTTTTTCCCATATGCAAATCAACCATATTTTCTTATTTAACCTCAAAATCTATATATACGTCTCAACCGGCCTTTCCGCCCCACCACCCGCCGCCAACCACAGTAATAAAATTCCCCAGAATGCGGGGAAACCGTTACCCAACGCCCAAAAGGCGGAAAACCGAGGGGGAAATCCCAGAAGCCAAAAGCGCTTCAGCCGAGCTCAAGCCCCTCAAAAATCCCTAAACCCCCCTAAAACCCCAGAAGACTGTCTGAATCAAAAAGAAAAAAAATCAGAATAAAAATAAGAAAAATGGCGGACGGAGAAGAGCCTACCTGCCCAACGCTTAAAAGACGTCCAAGACTAAGCCTCGATCCACGATTCGCTCCGAGGCGAGACCGATTTCTCTCTCTGCCTCTGGCTCTATCTCCCCATTTCCGCTCCCCCTTCTTCCGTCATCATCCATCAGGTTTTTTTTTATTTAAAAAAAACCCTAATTCCCTCGATTTCTGTGTCAATTTTTCACGGTGCCCATTGAGTTGGAAAGTTTTCTGCGTTACTTATTGTGGAGATCGATTACCGTGAGAATATTGAGTCTTCCTTTTTTGCATTGGATTTGCTTTATATTGCGATGTAATGGATAGAACACATTGTCACTGGGATTTGCATTGATAATGTGAAAATAATACGATGACGAATGAGAGGAAAAATAATCTAGAGAATTCTCTACATAATCGTATTAATCCTTCTCATTGGGTCCTGGGATAAGGTTTTTGTCTGTCTTATGACAATTTATTGTGGCCCAGACTTGCGATAGGCTAAAACGCGGGTGGATTCACTGGCGAAATCGGATCTCCTAGCTTTACCTTTCTTTGGCTTTGACTCTTGAGTGAATGGGGTATTGGCTACTCGTATATATCTGATTATTTTTCAGAAAGGACCAGGCCATTAAATCAGGAGATTCATGGTTCTTTCGCAGTTAATTGTCCTGCTTTAACTTTGACCTACCGCTTGTAGAAGCTTTGAAGTGGACTATAGCTGTTTTTGTTCGAGCCTAGTTAGGATTGTGGTGTATCTGCAAAGCTACAACTACTCAGGGCTGTGGCCTATATGCAAATCGAGGACAATTACTTGATCCTCTCTTTCTCCTTGATCACACTCGTGCTAGCATTAAGATCAATTTGGGATTGCGACGCCGTTAAATGAATGAATTCATCTCTGTTGGGAAAGGATTTGGAAGAAGAAAGATAACAAGGTTGCTTTCTCATGTTCCTGACATATAATCTTCATTACCGTTCTTTTCCAAAGTTCCTTCTCGTGTACTATGCCGTCTCAAGTTGAGATCCTAAGCTCTAGGTGCCAGCTTCCTCTCAACTCATTTTGTTGTGCAACATCTAGGGGTGGCCAGTACGTGGATTAACTGGACATTCTTCAATGTCATAGGTCTGGAAAATTTATAATGCTTTTTCTCAAAAGAGATTGGATGTTCCGGGGACATGTAAACACATATGTATGCTCAAAAGAAAAAATGAAAAGGTATGCACTTGTGGTGGCATAACAAGGAGCAAAAATGCCATTAATATGTTTTTTTCAGATGGATTTCCAAATTAATGACACCGTAATTGACATACTATTATATAATTGAGAAGTGTGAAGATAAACCTATTGATGGGATTGCCATGTCATATTATCAATAGAGAATAAAATCAAGTGGAGAACAATGACAAGTGCAGAGGGTTATGCAATGTCTGGATGCATAAATGTATATGACATGCAAAGCTGTCATTTTTCTTTAAGGACACTATATTTGGTTCTGCAGTGATGAATGTATTTATTTTTATATGTTTAGACCACATGTTTGACTATGACTTAGGCAAATTTGGCTTTTACAAATTTAAAGAGTCATTGAAACAACTGCCTACTGTGAGTAGGATTTGCTAGGCATTTTCTCACCAATGAGTTGCACACAATATGTGTGCTGCATTTAACTCGGTGAGAACTTAAAGATTTGCCCAAGATTTTCTTACCAATTGGCCGATTGTATATGAGGATAACACTGCATTTTGCTAGGTGAGAATTTAATTGATCCTTTCACCCAGATTTTCAGATTTGCACCATCAAACATCATATCATTTTCTTATAGTCTTATCTTTATTCAGGTAGATACTAGCAGTTGATACTTTCTTTTCTTCTGAAGTCTGCTAAGGTGGTAAAGGGTAGGCTGGGTGGAAGCCTGGAAGTAAATTTCAAGTTCAGGTTTAGAGGGAAAGAAACATCAGTCACAATTTAACAAGGTTATCGATAGCGGATAGCGTTGCGTAGCGGTGAGGCATAGCCAAGGCTATTTGGGGCTATTGCGGTAAAATAGTGGTAAAAAGCGCAAAGTCAAATAGCCGGTCCAATTTAGATATGTATAAATATTTAAAAAAATCTAGAAAATCTAAAAGTGCATATGTGATGATTTAAAGAGAGAGACATATAGTCATTATATAATACCGAAGATGACTGGAGGAGGAGTCAAAGAGTCGTTGTCGTCGAGAAGAGGAGCTGAGCAGTGAGAGGATTGCAGTAGGAGGAGCTCACGGCGAGAGGAGGTGAGAGGAAGTGTTGAGGGAGGTGCCGAAGGCTATGGGAGGCGACAGAAATATGTCGAAAATCGCGGGAGGCAGTGGGATGCAGTGGTTGCAGGTAGGGTTTAATTTTTTTTAAAAAAACCTCAAATCACTTTTAAATAGCGGTAAAAAAGCGGATTTTGCCTATAATCGTCCGCTATTCACCGCTATGGCGCATTATTGGCCGCTTTTGCGAGTGGAAAGCGCATATTCTGCAACATGTCACTGCTATTGGGTGATAACGTAGCGGGAATGGACCGCTAATGCTATTTTTACCGCTATTTATAACAGTGCAATTTAATTTCGTTTTCTTCCATTTCAGAATCTGTGTGACGTGTTGAGGATTAAACATGGAAGTGTGCCATCTTTGTGTGTGTGCGTACGAGCGTGCGTGCGTGTTCGTGTGTGTTTGTATGCACGTGCGTGTGCATGTGCGGGTGCGTGTGATATTCTGACCCTTACCAAGAAGCATGGCTAGAATCTAGATTCTCTTAAGAGACACATCTTGGCTAAATGCCTCCATTCCCCACCATTCTATGAGATACAACTTATGACATGCAGGAATTGTGTCTCCACATGCAGGAATTGTGTCTCCTCATATAAGTAGTCTCTTCGATTAATTTTCACCAATTTTATTTGCCACATCTTTTGTTTGTAGAAAGACATATATAACCTGATGCCAGTTATTTCTTATCCTTTCTTTTATGTTTCAAATTGATTTTCTAAGTTCTCCATTTCTTCTCTTTTTCAGAATGTACAAAATGAATCATATTATCAATGTGACATCTGATCTATTACTCATAATCACACCTCTGCATTAATTAGCCAAGATGACCAAAATGGAAGTTCTGGATCATGTCTACATGTATTCTTAAAGAAATTTGTTCAAAGTGCTATTTTCTTCTGAGATTTTCATAAAAATCATGATCTTTTTCTGCCGGCTTGTGTGTTTATGAAGGCTGCGATTTTCTTTTCACTTATATATGAACTTGTCGACATGTATGTTTACAAAAAGGAAGTTTGCCATGCGTCAACTTAATTGTAATAACTGAGCAATTGAAAATTTATATCCTTTACAGGAAGCAGGAAAGAGGATAATAGTACTCAAAGATGTTATTCTATGCGCCTCTTTGCTAATTAGTTTCTCTTTATTTTGATCCACGTAGAGCAGTACGCTTTTCAAGAAAGTAGATCCCTATAGTTAGCTAGAGTTGTTTATTGATCATTTTATCCATCATGCAGATGACTTCTGAAAGAGATTGCAAAGTTCCATTCCTTGCTTTGAATGAGGAAAACAAACTAAGCCTCTTCCCCTTGATGTTCTTACACACTGACACAAAAGCTCAATCACCTGATAGTTCCTCTGTGTGGATGAATATTCCACACATATGTACCGATATTGATTGTGCGCGGGAAAAATGGGTTCATGTTGGATGTGAGGTATGTTGTCTAGTAACTGCTTCAATCAGGTAGGTAATAAGAGATTTTACATGAAGATATTTTTTGTACTTGCACTTGAAGCCTTCATTTTTCTGGAGATAATATCCTCACAAATAACTTCATCAACTTACTGTCAAGGTAATGGCTGCCTAGTTTTTAGTAATGAACAACTGTATAGTGAAGTATCATATGTGAAATGATCGAATGTGATGGATCATAAAATTGCAATATGTTTGTGGTTTATTGTTTTCCCCCTTTACATGATCTTATGGTGAGGTTGTGCTAAATTTAGCATCTAATCCTGTATGCTTAATAGTACAAGCATAAAACACTACACTGTACTAATGTAATTGGTGTCTGTATATTTAGTACAAGCATAAAACACTACACTGTACTAATGTAATTGGTGTCTGTATATTTTAAAAATACCTGTGTGTCCAGTTAATGATTTTCATTGCATGTCAACATCAGGTAGCTGCAAATCGTATGCGTCTTCATGTTAATGGAACTCTAGTCAGAGAAAAAGCTCTAAGTGTTTTGTCGAAGGATCAAAATTATCAGGATAATGTAAAAAAGATAGCTTTGGTTGGTAACAATGGAGACGTTGAGAAGCTTCATGCTTATGTTTATGATCTTCGACTTTTACCTATATCAACATCAACAAAGGATCATTTCATAAAGGTGCATACGAGGAAAGGAAATTCTCATTGATGAGGTTTATTTATGCTTTTCTTGTTTATTATTCATTGCCTTTGCTTGCATGTAACTAAGAATCACATTTTATTTTCTTTCAGAATCCACCAGTGAAATTGACCCTTGACGACTCATGTATCGCTGATGGAATTGAAGAGGGAAGTGATGGCGTCTGGAGCATCGTTGGCGGAAAGGTTAGAAAACTTTAGGTACTCATAATTTATTGAGAGAATTGTTCAATCTCCACTATGTTGAGCAAAAGAAGACAACTAAATTCTTTACTATAACAACTAGTTCATGATTCAAACTGGATATTCGCTTTAAATATTCAATATTGACATATATCTTGCATCACTAAAATCTTCCACCATAATTTTTATTCCCTCGCATATAGTAGTAGTTTTCTTGTTAAAGTAGCTGAGAAAAGTCTTGTAGGTAATCATATTTCACTAAACCCATGTTAAGGCTTAAATAATATCATCATTGATAGACAAAACAATGCTCCTATATCTATAATTTTCCTTTTGAAATGTTGTAGCTTGCTCACCTACTCTATTAAAGAGATAATACTGAACATTTGAGTGCTAAACAGGGAAGGAAAACTTGGCTTTGAGACAACTTCATCATGACATATAAAAACATAAGCATCTATAACGTAAAGTAACAAAGCAATGTCAATACCCATTAATTTATAGGATTGGCTCAGAGCCTAATACTGATTTTCCGGGCTTTCAATGCAAAACACGAGTATATACGACTAGTTTCAAATGTGCTATGTGGGGCTATATTGGTGACAAGTCTGAAGTTTCTCTTAGTTGATGTTCACATGTTACGTGTGTGTGGGATAAACTAAAGAAATGTCTCTGAATCCAGATATAGATGTTTATATTTTATTAATTCTACTAGTAATTTTACTATAACTATACTTTTTCTCTTATTTGGTCTATATGGTAGAGTGGTTGTACCATTCTGTCGTTGCAGGAAGATTTAGGGAGTGTCAAGTCTTGGGTTGCGACTTTCTTATATCTGAGCGTGAGTTAATCCATCAAACAATAATACCAGTTATCTACAATATAAAATTTATCTGACACAGCTCACAAGTTCAATTTCAAGTGTTATCCTTGACAATAAGTAATATTTTCAACAGCCTATATTCTTGGGTTTTGACTTGTACATCCATTATTCTTGAATTCTGCATTCAAGAAACTTTAAAATAATTTAGATTAAACCGAAGCATCCGCTTGATGGTACTTGGCACTCAAATGCCAGTAATTTGATCTTCTGAAGAAACTCATCCCTGAGCTAAGTTGCACTGAAACAATCATTAATGATTTGAGCAAGCCACCGTGTAGTAACCAATTCTTTTGATCAGTAGCATTTAAGTCGTCATTATGTATTACAAACTCCGCCAGTGTTGTGCTTTATTTCATTGCCCGCATCGTCTGTCCCAAGCTAGGATAAAGGAGGAGGGTTGCATTAGGTAGCCGTCAACCAGCGTAAAACATAGTCGGATCCACATGAAAAATGAATTCTATAAAATATTTGTTGGGGTGTCTCCATTGCGACGCATTGCATCGATGCTATTCTGATGCAATGGTAAGTAAGCAATGGTGATTTGCTAGCGCATCCCCCGGAAGAAACTCGTTACATCAATGTTACCCTGATGTAATGACAAGTAAGCAAGGGTATTCTAAGAATCTACAATCCTCTAATAGGTTGTCAAATAGTATTAGGTGTAAACTAGAACAATGAAAAATAGCAGGAGACTTTTACAGGAGAATAGAATTAGGTTAGGTACTTGGAATATAGGTACACTTATCGGTGTCATGCTTAGAAGAAAGACGAGTAAAATTTATTTACAAGAAACTAGATGGATAGATGAAAAATCTAGAGAAATTAAAAAGACTGGATATAAACTTTGGTACACGGGAAAAGAGAAGAATAGGAACGGAGTGAGAATTCTTGTAGATAACATAAAAAAAGTATTGTCGATGTAAAAAGAGTTGGAGATAGAATAATACTAATAAAAACTATATTAGGGGTAGAGGTTATTAATATTATTAGTGCTTACGCACCACAGGTAGGCTTGCTCGAGAGTTCTAAAAGGGAATTTTGGGATAGCTTAGATGAATTGGTATAAGAAATCCCGTTAGAAGAGAAATTATTTATAGAAAGGGATCTTAATGGGCATGTTTGTAAGAATGATGACTGATACGAGAGGATACATGGAGGTTTTGAGTATGGAGATAAGAACGATGTGAGAGAATCTTTTTTAGAGTTTGCAACATCATATAATTTGATAATAACAAATACACTTATTAGAAAAATGGATAAACACTTAATAACCTTTAAAAATGATTTTAATAATAGTCAAATAGATTTTTTTCTTACTAGAATGGTGGATCGGTTAATATGCAAAGATTGTAAATCTATACTAGGAGAGAGTTTAAGTACACAACATAGATTGATGGTCTTAAACATATCTATTAAGAAGTGGAGTAGAAAAACTAACATGAACAAGCGACTAAGAATTAAATGGTGAAACTTAAAAATGAGAAAATTTAATACGTTTTGAAGATACATGAAACATAGATAATGAGACTAATATTATGTGGAATAGCATGTCTTCTTATATTAGAAAAGTGGCTAAAGATATACTAGGAGAATTTAAAGATTGTAGTTTAGACGGTAATGAGAGTTGGTGATGGAATGAGAGTGTGCAAAAGGTTATTAGAGAGAAGAAAACTTTATATAAAGAGTGGCAAAAGTATAGGAGTAAGAAAAACTCAGAAAATATAAACTAGTAAGGAAGGAAGCAAAAAGAGCGGGGTTAGTGAAAATAAATACAAGGCTTATGAAATTTTTATAAGAAGTTAGAATTTAAGGAGGGAGAGAAAGATGTATATAAGCTTGCTAAGATTAGAGAAAGGAAGAGTAGAGATTTGGGTAATATTAGATGTAGTAAAAGTGAGGATCAAAGATTTTTAGTAACCGACGTGGAAATAAAAGAGAGGTGGAGGAGTTACGTGTTAGACCCTAATGCCACTAGAAAAGAACCTTAGGGGGGTGAATATGGTTTATGTTAATCTAATCCGATTTAATACTAATAAAAACTAATTAACAAATATCCTAGTAAATTAGATATGCAACAAGATATATATTCAAGTATATACAAACAATGGTAAGTAAACTATAAACAAATACAAACAATATAGTGCATAAATTAGACAATGAGAGAATAGCGATAGAGATAAACAAAATATAAGTGCACAAGCCGAACTCAAACACACAAGAAATGATCACGGAGTTCGGACCTTTCGTCTTACGTCTCTGCTCCCCACTCCCGGGGAGAAATCCACTATCATATCGGGTTTTTAACGCTCACCCGAAAATGTTTACACCTCACACTCGGTTTTTTAGCTCACCGAAAACTTTACAATCAACACTCTTGTAATCCCACTCTACATCCTCTAAGTGTTGGTCTCTAGCCCGTGTCTTCCTTAAGTGTTTGGATTTACAACCTCTCACTAGGCTTTACTACCGACGCCACTCTTCTTGGGACGATCCCGTCTCTCACTACACACTCCTCTCGGTGTACGTGTATTACAAAGTGTATCATCACAATAAAAGCTCAATACAATAATTTGTTCTCTAGTATGGATGAGAACACAATGATACCTCACTCGCTAAGACACAAACCCACAACCCCAAATTATACTATATATGCAAATATAATAAGCTCAATCCTTGTGTATGAACAAAGAGAATCAAATATAAACTCAATGTAAACACTAGCTTAATGAAGATGACAAACAACAAATAATTAATGCAAAGCTAGTATCGAGTTTAGAAATTTTTCTTTGAAAAACAAAATGAAGAGATGGAGATTGAAGCTCAAACAATGAAGATGATCTCCTCAACTTGTGAAAACTTCTTCACAAACCAAACAAATACTAAAACAAAGTTAAACCCTTGTTAAACTTTTGTAAACTTATAAAAAATAATTTTTTTAGATCACTCAGAAGTTATGAGGCATGGGGTATTTATAGGATTATAAGGGAAACCCCACAAACCAAGAAAACAAAGCAAAAAAGATAAAAAAAACCAAAAACAGCACATTCTGTAAAACTAGCCGTTAGAGACCGCCAGTCGACTGATGAACAATATTAGTCAATTGATAAACAGTTTTAGTCGACTGATAAGCTGACCGTTACAGACAGTTCACAGCTCATCGGTCGACTGAAGAACTCATCAGTCGACTGATAGTTTATCAGTTGCAAAAATAAATTTTTTTAACAATTCTAGACGAGCTCATCAGTCGACTGATAAACTCTATCAGTCGACTGATAACAAGTTATCAGTCTGATTAAAACAGTAAATCTGATTTTTGAAGTGCTTTTAAAAATAGCAAATAAATTCTAAAAAATATAAAACATTGGGAAATGATTGTAAACATGATAATAAACATGTTACAAAAAGTATTTTTGGAATTGCACCTCCCAAATGAGAAATCTCTTCATTTTGCAAAAAGGTCCAAAACATGAAAGCTAAACAAGACATGTTTTTGACGAAATGTTTTAAACAAACTTTTAAAACTTTGTAAAATAATTTTATAGACTTGATAAAAGATATAAACTATAGTTGTTAAGTCTATAAACTAAAAACACAATATTTTTCAAAATACAATAGAATATGAAATATATGAATATGTATATGAATGTATTCTTGTTTCATATCTATATAACTAAACTAAAATAACTTATCCACATGAAAACAAACATATTTGTATATAAACATAAATTTATTTGTTAAAAAAACTTTATTTGTGGATAAAACCCAAAACGGATAAACTTATAAAATGTGTGTATAATATTGAGCTTGAAGTATTAAACACACATAATATAACACCTAAACTAATTTACCCAAGCAATCTTGATCTTCAATTTGAGCCCATCTTAATAAACTTTGCGGATGAAGCTTGATCTTGAATTGACTTGAATTGTATATGGCTTCATACCGATATTCCGCCAACCTCCATTTGATATGATCGTTATGACACAATCCATCTAACCTCCAACTTGATTGTTTGTCTAGAATAAATATAAAAACACAAACACTAGACAAATAATATTAGTTAATTATTTGTTAAAACTTCATCAAAACAAAAAAACCAACAATCTCCCCCTTTTTGATG